TGTCATGGGTCGTCTGTGTCGTCTGACATGGGCCGTCTGTGTCGTCTTTGTCGTCTGTCATGGGTCGTCTGTGTCGTCTGACATGGGTCGTCTGTCATGGGTCGTCTGTCATGGGTCGTCTTTGTCGTCTGTCATGGGTCGTCTGTCATGGGTCGTCTGTCATGGGTCGTCTATCATGGGTCGTCTGTCATGGGTCGTCTGTGTCGTCTGTGTCGTCTGTCATGGGTCGTCTGTGTCGTCTTTGTCGTCTGTCATGGGTCGTCTGTCATTGGTCGTCTGTCATGGGTCGTCTGTGTCGTCTGTCATGGGGCGTCTGTTATGGGTCGTCTGTCATGTGTCGTCTGTCATGTGTCATCTGTCAGACACATGGTTTCCGCCTCAGTGGCTTCCATCTCTAACAAATCCAACAATTTAAACAGACCGTCCATTGCCGCCACCTCCCGTGGTAGCTAAACTAAAAAAGTATCTTTTCACGGTGTGACTCACCAGTAACCACAATACGTCACGCTTCACCGCCCAACTCTCACCACCAACAAAGCAATTTGCGCGTTTTCATAATCTGTTACGTAACAAAGATTCCAGTTGAAAAAAAAACAACGATATGTGAGCAGTGAATGGGGCGACCACCCCCCCCCCACCCGCCACTCACCAACATGATTGAACGCCATCTTAGCCGTGGGAACGAGGTCTAGAACCGGCCCTCGGAGAGATTTGTTTTAACGCCTCAGTGTTTAATGCTCGTGTTGCAGTTAACCCTGTACCGGCCGTTATTAACCCCTGGCGTGTGAACAAAATTTACCAACGGGGAAAAACATTCCCAGGATCAAATCCTTGAACCGACTTTTTTCCCCCGCTCGGGATCTAATGCGCAATGGTCATGCGTAAGAGCACTTAGCGTCTGCACATGCGCATTGTATGGGCTGGGAACAAAGGTATTAATAAACGATAATTTGGCGCGCAAGGCCACAAGACGCTTGTTTGGAGAACGTGAGCACGATTCCGTTTAAAATTCCGCCTTCAAACGGCGGTGATGTGAGCAAATATACTCAACTGTGAGAAACAATAAATGATGAAATAACAAAAACACGGAATAGGGGGAAAAAATGTTGGCCAATCTTATGGCGGAAGTCGCACTTTGCGCGTGTTTGCGACTATTGGATTATGGGCAGGTGAGCACGGGGGTTTACTTAAGAGGGCGGCTCCCCAGGTAAGGAAGGGGGGGGGGGGGGGGTACGGGTACACGTGTGAGCTGACGTGTGATAAAAGAGGGAAGAAAACACGAATGTAGCGTAGTTGCATTCACGCATGCGCGGACACGGAGCCAGCAGGACTGGCAGAAAAGGCATTACTTGTAAGATTTAATTATACGAGCTAATTAGGACCTTGCGAGGATGATTGTCTGAGGATTGTTGACATTTCACACATAGCTGATGCAGCAATTGGGAATGACGAATGTGTTGGGTTTTTTTTTTCGCGGTTCGTTACAGTCTGCCTGAGATATCTCGAGGCTCGCTTCTTTAGTGCCAGAAAAATAGCTCGGCACTTCTGACATATCGGCACCTCTAACAGATCGGCACTTCTCATATATAGGCACTTTTAACAGTGCGGCACTTTTGACACATCGGCACTTTTGACATATCGGCACTTTTGACATATCGGCACTTTTGAAAAAAAAACGGCACTTCTAACATATCGGCACTTCTAACATATCGGCACTTCTGACAGATCGCTGAAGGGTTGCAGCTGGTAAAAAAACTAAAAAAAAAAAAACCAACCTCGACTAATAAAACCAGCCCAACCCAGCTGCTACAACTACCACCAAACGCCATTTGTAATGCGAGATTGTCTCGCATTTACCTGATTACTTCCGCCGGTTGAACGCCATTGAACACCAACGACAGGTAAATGTAATTAAGGTGTTTTGTCACACCTTGTAGCTCTGTCACGCTTCAGCGATTACATCATCCCCGGCGTCCCCGTGACACATTTTACCGGCAATAAAGCCGGTCTGCCGGCAATAAAACCGGTCTGCCTGCTAGATTTGTCGCCGCCGCGTTATCTGATGTGGTAAATGATTTTGTAATCTGAAAATGATTGTGGGAAGGGATGGGTATGTCTGTTTGATTATGGTCAGGATTGGGTAGGTCTGTATGATTGCAGCTGGGAGGGGGGGGGGGTAGGTCTGTATGATTGTGGGCTGGGTGATTGTGACTGTTGTAGGGTCAGGTTATTGAAGACCGGGTGTTTAACTGAACTTCTCACTGAGCGCGGCAACAGTGCGTTCCCTTCATGTGAACATCGTCATGTGAACAGCTCCAAACACTATTGGCCGTGTTCAAAGACAAACGCGCTAGATCGCCGGGCCATGACGTCAGTGATCATCGGGACTTCCCGTACAACCTTCGCCGCCCCGCCCGCTGGGGTGGGAGTGGGGTGGGAGTGGCTCTGGTTACCCTGGCCGAAATCACGTGCGTTGTGTTCCATCTTTGATACGTACTCACCCTCCTGCTATAGACATGATTGTGGTGAGCTTGTTTACATGATTGTAATGACCTTTGACATGTTTACATCTAACGAGGCGGGTCGAGGATACATTTACCCCTTGAAATCCACTTCCCATAACCCCCGGTAAGAGATAATCACCCAGGGTCCGGTTCTGTCCCCTGACAGAAGGTAATTCAATTACAGCCATGTTCAAACTCTTCCCTGACTGTCTTTTTCCCATCCTCAAAAGCTGAAGACGGAAGTCACATGGCCGTGACGTCACGATCCCTTGCTTTTATTAGACCAATGAACAACAAGCACGGCGTCTCTGGCGCGAGCGACAAATGCCAGACGTCACAGGCGAGTGTTAATTATAGCCTCGACATCTCTCCCGGTCGTTGGTGGCGTCATGTGGGTCATGGGGGTTGGTGGCGTATGGGTCATGTGGGTTGGTGGCGTGTGGGTCATGTGGGTTGGTGGCGTGTGGGTCATGGGTCATGTGGGTCATGGGGGTTTGTGCCGTGTGGGTCGCTGGTGTATGGGTCATGTGGGTCGGTGGCGTGTGGGTCATGTGGGTTGGTGGCGTGTGGGTCATGGGGGTCATGTGGGTTGGTGGAGTGTGGGTCATGTGGGTTGGTGGCGTGTGGGTCATGTGGGTTGGTGGCGTGTGGGTCATGTGGGTTGGTGGCGTGTGGGTCATGTGGGTTGGTGGAGTGTGGGTCATGTGGGTTGGTGGCGTGTGGGTCATGTGGGTTGGTGGCGTGTGGGTCATGTGGGTTGATGGAGTGTGGGTCATGTGGGTTGGTGGCGTGTGGGTCATGTGGGTTGGTGGAGTGTGGGTCATGTGGGTTGGTGGAGTGTGGGTCATGTGGGTTGGTGGCGTGTGGGTCATGGGGGTCATGTGGGTTGGTGGAGTGTGGGTCATGTGGGTTGGTGGCGTGTGGGTCATGTGGGTTGGTGGCGTGTGGGTCATGGGGGTCATGTGGGTTGGTGGAGTGTGGGTCATGTGGGTTGGTGGCGTGTGGGTCATGTGGGTTGGTGGCGTGTGGGTCATGTGGGTTGGTGGCGTGTGGGTAGCTGGTATATGGGTCACGTGGGTTGGTGGCGTGTGGATTGGTGTCGTGTGGGTAGTGTGGACGATGATGTAGCCGTGACAAAACCCAAATCAACACCTTTGAGTGACAGCAACGTGACATCACGTGACCAAATCGTACACCGTGACCTGAACGTGACAGGCGAGCGTGACGTTACAGCGCCAGTTACTACGACCCAAACATGCACATCACAAGAATGGACACAGCAATCGACTCCCAACTAGAGTTCTATCCAACAAATTATCCAACACTTTCTTCATCTAATTTTTTTTTCAAATGAATAATTGCCCAAATAAAGAAGATTGATTGGGGCATTATGAAAGTTCGGGAAAAGTTTGCCCAGAAATTTGTCTGTATGACAGTTAGGGGTCAACCTCTGATGACGCAGTAATGGCTGGGGAGTTTGGGGGAGATAACTCTAACATAACTGTAACATAACTGTAACATAACTCTAACGTAACTCAAACATAACTGTAACATAACTGTAACATAACTCTAACATAATTCTAACATAATTCTAGCATAACTCTAACATAACTCTAACATAACTCTAACATAACTCTAACATAACTCTAACATAACTCTAAAATAACTCGAAACTCTAACCAGGGTAACACTTCAGTGGGGAGGGGGGGGGGGGGGGTAAAGGGAGATAATTAACCAGGGTATATTGGGTGTCAAACAACTGACCAGTCATCTCATCTTTGCATGACTTAAGTTCCAAGGACATTTCACAAGATATCAAAGTAGAATATTTAGAAAATAACAATCATTTCAATTAAACACTTTAAAAATATCAAAGTATTAACGAAGAAGATTTAAAAGTAGATTATCCTGCATAAAAAGGAGATCATTAAAAAGACGAAATTAGATCAAATTTTCAAACAAAAATTTCGTTAAATATTTGACAGGCAGTAATCAAGCAAACGGAACATAAAAGATAAATGAGTTTATCTACCTCCAAATGGCCCTCAAATATTTGATCACAAAAAAAAACATTGATTGCTTTTTGATAATCGATCATTTTTACTTGGCCTTCTTGGGAGATTGCAACGTTTAATCGTCTGCTATTTTTACTGGGTCATTGAGTTCCATGTTACTGGGGGAGGGAGGGGGGAATTCAATGTTGGGGTTCATCCTCCATGTTGAAGATAAGCTTTTTTGTCGTTTAACGTCAGTTGAACGCATGAACGCATAGTATTGTGTTAAAGGGGATCAATGTTTATATATTAGTTTATTGTGTTCAATCAATATAAACAAAAGAATTGGTGTCAGTAGACAAAGACAGGGGTCAGGCATACAGAGACAGGGGTCAGACGTATAGAGAGGGGGGTCAGACGTACAGAGAGGGGGGGGGGGGTCAGACATACAGAGACAGGGGTCAGACAAACACCGAGAGACCAGTGTCAGATGTTCACTTACCTGGCGAAAAACGAGGCCGCTGCCGAGGGCACGTGTGGTGGCGAGGTGGGTGAGGACAGGCTCCTTGAAGGCACGTGATGGTGTCCAGAGGAAGTAGAGTGGGCGTATCCGGGATGGAGGCCCGATGATGAGGAGGATGAAACGTCAGACATGGACTCGGGAGAGCCGAGACTCTCATAGTGGCACTCCTGGCTGGTGGGGGGCAGGCGGCCTGCCAGCATCTGGGGAGGGGAGGAACAGGTGTTACAGCAGGTAGGTGGTGGGACAGGTAGGTGTTGGGGCAGGTAGGTGGTGGGGCAGGTAGGTGGTGGGGTTAGGGCAGGTCAGTACAAAGAACCATTGCTCTACTTAAGGTAAATTTTAATTTGCTTCCATTACATACTAACATATCTGACACACAGAAACATTCACAAATACGAGTACGCACACTCACACGCATCACATACGTAATACCACATATCAAACAACCACATTTTCGCTTACTTCTACACCTCCCACACAAGTAACGCCCACATATCACGTGCATACATCGCCACTCCCCTTTTGTGAACGATCACGTGACGTCAATAATAAATCCAGTAAGGTCAGCGTGTTGAGGTCAACTTTGTGAAACGCCTTGGGTCATTAAAACCGTATCACACAAGACGGGTGTTACCTTGTCTGTCCCCCACAATGTGTGTGTGTGTGTGTGGGTGTTGGATCGTGCGGTAGACTTGATGGTGAGTACCTCGCCCTGTGACCCACTTGACATGCAGGTCCCAGCGTGAGAACTGCATGTTTGGGTTAGCCGGCACGTGCATCAAAGCCGTGAGCAAGTGTTGGGTTATCTATTTACACCATCTCGTAATGGGTTATCTGCCCACCTCAGCAAGTGTTGGGTTATCTGCCCACCCCAACAAGTGATGGGTTATCTGCCCACCCCAGCAAGTGTTGGGTTATCTGCCCACCCCAGCAAGTGTTGGGTTATCTATTTACACCATCTCATGTTGGGTTATCTGCCCACCGCAGCAAGTGATGGGTTATCTGCCCACCCCAGCAAGTGATGGGTTATCTGCCCACCCCGACAAGTGAGGGTTATCTGCCCATCCCAGCAAGTGATGGGTTATCTGCCCACCCCAGCAAGAGATGGGTTATCTGCCCACCCCAGCAAGCGATGGGTTATCTGCCCACCCCACACCATTGGCCAGTCATGTGAGAGTCCACCCTACCACGGCCTCAGCGGGACATTAAAACTTTCAAACCCCACTCCATCACTTGTTACACGCTTCTACACCACGCCAAGCCTCTATCAGCCTCACCCCTCTTAACTAAAGAAGTCACATCCCCACACCCTAATCACGTGATACAACACCTCTCGCGTGAGTCTCGCTCCCCCGAACCAAACAACTTCACCTCCGCAATAAAAACTAATGTTATGTTTTTTGAATCAGCATTTCATTCTGCGTGTGACATTTTTCTTGATCGAGCCTTGTAAAAATGAATGGCACGAAATCTGGGAAATGGGTGCCAATGGCAAGAATTCTGGGAGATGGGCGCCAATGGCACGACGGCTGGGAAATGGTTTCTCGCTGCGCTAGAATTGTCTGGCGAACCTTGGCGAATTATTTTACACGTGGATTTTAAGTTTTCCTTCCAGCTTTGTAATTATGAATCAGTTTAGTATGGGGTGGGGTGGCTGCGTGGTAGAGCACCCAGCTGATAATCCTAAACTCTCGTGTTCTAGCCCCGGACTTGAGTCCTTTGAGTCTCCCTGAGTCCACCCAGCTGCGACGATACCTAACTCCGGGTTGGCCAAGAAAGCCACACTATCCCTTATATGTCACGATTTATGAATTTCAGGTGAATTCTACTTCACCTGTTATATTGACCACCTTTCAAACTGTAGAGGTTACAGCTATTGTTGTATTGGATGGCCTAATGTGAAAACACCACCGGCCACTTGTACAGCTGGCCATAGAGTGGCCACTTGCTTGACAACTAGGTTAAGGGTGTATCACAGGGCTAGGGGTGTTTCGCAGGGTTAGCGGTGTTTCAGGGAGTTAAGTCTGTTTCACAAAAGTTTATTGTCGATTACTATTTGAACTAAAGCTACACTTGACGGCTGTTCAACTATACATTATATGGTGTAGGTAGATAATAAAGATAAAAACGCCCGATGCAAAGGCCAATGTGTTCATCAGTTCACCAGGAAAAAAGCTGAAGCTTATTTAAAAAAAACGTGGGCCCAACTCAATGTCAGCGTGATGGACACACTGACAGGCCTGGTTGGGTGCTGTCTCATCTGGGAGGTCGTTGTGGTCAGTTTTTTTTTGGGTGGGAGAGGTCGTGGTGGTCAGTTTTTTTTGGGGTGGGAGAGGTCGTGGTGGTCAGTTTTTTTTGGAGGGGTCGTGGTGGTTAGTTTTTTTTTGGGGTGGGAGAGGTCGTGGTAGTCAGTTTTTTTTGGAGGGGTCGTAGTGGTCAGTTTTTTTTGGGGTGGGAGAGGTCGTGGTGGTCAGTTTCTTTTGGAGGGGTCGTGGTGGTCAGTTTTTTTTGGGTGGGAGAGGTCGTGGTGGTCAGTTTTTTTTTGGGGTGGGAGAGGTCGTGGTGGTCAGTTTTTTTTTGAGTGGGAGAGGTCGTGGTGGTCAGTATTTTTGGGGGGGAGAGGTCGTGGTGGTCAGTTTTTTGGGGGAGAGGTCGTGGTGGTCAGTTTTTTAGGAGGTCGTGGTGGTCAGTTTTTTTTTGGGGGGGGAGAGGTCGTGGTGGTCAGTTTTTTTGGGGAGAGGTCGTGGTGGTCAGTTTTTTTTTGGGTGGGAGAGGTCGTGGTGGTCAGTATTTTTTGGGGGGGGGGGGAGGTCGTGGTGGTCAGTTTTTTTTGGGAGAGGTCGTGGTGGTCAGTTTTTTAGGAGGTCGTGGTGGTCAGTTTTTTTTGGGGGGGAGAGGTCGTGGTGGTCAGTTTTTTTGGGGAGAGGTCGTGGTGGTCAGTTTTTTAGGAGGTCGTGGTGGTCAGTTTTTGGGGGGGGGGGGGGGGGGGAGAGGTCGTGGTGGTCAGTTTTTTGGGGGGGAGAGGTCGTGGTGGTCAGTTTTTTTGGGGAGAGGTCGTGGTGGTCAGTTTTTTTTTGGGTGGGAGAGGTCGTGGTGGTCAGTATTTTTGGGGGGGAGAGGTCGTGGTGGTCAGTTTTTTTTGGGGAGAGGTCGTGGTGGTCAGTTTTTTAGGAGGTCGTGGTGGTCAGTTTTTTTGGGGGGGAGAGGTCGTGGTGGTCAGTTTTTTTGGGGAGAGGTCGTGGTGGTCAGTTTTTTAGGAGGTCGTGGTGGTCAGTTTTTTTGGGGGGGGGGGGAGAGGTCGTGGTGGTCAGTTTTTTTGGGGGGGAGAGGTCGTGGTGGTCAGTTTTTTTTTGGGAGAGGTCGTGGTGGTCAGTTTTTTTTTGAGTGGGAGAGGTCGTGGTGGTCAGTATTTTTTTGGGGGGGGGGGGAGAGGTCGTGGTGGTCAGTTTTTTTTTGGGGGGGGAGAGGTCGTGGTGGTCAGTTTTTTTGGGGAGAGGTCGTGGTGGTCAGTTTTTTTTTGGGTGGGAGAGGTCGTGGTGGTCAGTATTTTTGGGGGGGGAGAGGTCGTGGTGGTCAGTTTTTTTTGGGAGAGGTCGTGGTGGTCAGTTTTTTAGGAGGTCGTGGTGGTCAGTTTTTTTGGGGGGGAGAGGTCGTGGTGGTCAGTTTTTTTGGGGAGAGGTCGTGGTGGTCAATTTTTAATTTTGGGTGGGAGAGGTCGTGGTGGTCAGTTTTTTGGGGGAGAGGTCGTGGTGGTCAGTTTTTTAGGAGGTCGTGGTGGTCAGTTTTTTTGGGGGGAGAGGTCGTGGTGGTCAGTTTTTTTGGGGAGAGGTCGTGGTGGTCAGTTTTTTTTTGGGTGGGAGAGGTCGTGGTGGTCAGTATTTTTGGGGGGGAGAGGTCGTGGTGGTCAGTTTTTTTGGGGAGAGGTCGTGGTGGTCAGTTTTTTAGGAGGTCGTGGTGGTCAGTTTTTTTGGGGGGGAGAGGTCGTGGTGGTCAGTTTTTTTGGGGGGGAGAGGTCGTGGTGGTCAGTTTTTTAGGAGGTCGTGGTGGTCAGTTTTTTGGGGGGGGGGGGAGAGGTCGTGGTGGTCAGTTTTTTTGGGGGGGAGAGGTCGTGGTGGTCAGTTTTTTTGGGGAGAGGTCGTGGTGGTCAGTTTTTTTTTGAGTGGGAGAGGTCGTGGTGGTCAGTATTTTTGGGGGGGGGAGAGGTCGTGGTGGTCAGTTTTTTTTGGGGAGAGGTCGTGGTGGTCAGTTTTTTAGGAGGTCGTGGTGGTCAGTTTTTTTTTGGGGGGAGAGGTCGTGGTGGTCAGTTTTTTTGGGGAGAGGTCGTGGTGGTCAGTTTTTTAGGAGGTCGTGGTGGTCAGTTTTTTTTTTGGGGGGGGGGGGAGAGGTCGTGGTGGTCAGTTTTTTTGGGGGGGGAGAGGTCGTGGTGGTCAGTTTTTTTTGGGGAGAGGTCGTGGTGGTCAGTTTTTTAGGAGGTCGTGGTGGTCAGTTTTTTTGGGGAGAGGTCGTGGTGGTCAGTTTTTTTTTGGGTGGGAGAGGTCGTGGTGGTCAGTTTTTTTGGGGAGAGGTCGTGGTGGTCAGTTTTTTTTTGGGTGGGAGAGGTCGTGGTGGTCAGTTTTTTTTGGGGGGGGGGGGGGGGGAGGTTTAAGATGGTCAGTTTTTTTTGTTGGGAGAGATCGTTGTGGTCAGTTTTTTTTGGGACAGGTCGTGGTGGTCAGTTTTTTTGGGGGAGGTTTAAGATGGTCAGGTTTTTTTTGGGGGGAAGGTCTTGTTGGTCAGTTTTTTTTGGGAGAGGTTAAGGTGGTCAGTTTTTTTTGGGGGAAGGTCGTGTTGGTCAGTTTTTTTGGAGAGAGGTCGTGGTGGTCAGCTTTCTTTGTTTATTTTGAGGTCATGGTGATTAGTTGTTGTTTTTTTTTTTTTGTTTTTTTTTTGGAGAGGTCGTTATGATCAGGTGTCTTTTTACTGTATAAATTAATTTACGCTTGAGGTAGGGGAGGTACGTGTGTGAGGTACGGCGAAATCAGGCGACGAGATAGGGAGAAACTGATGAGATAGAGATGAGATAGAGATGAGATAAGCACACAGAGTCGAGAAGTGCCCCGGGGGGACACACAATTTGCATCCTCCCACTTGTGGAGAAAATTCCATTACAGCCCGTCCTCCCCAAGCTGAACGCGCGCGTGTTTGCTCACCCCCCAGCCGG